AAAGGTGTGCCCGAGAAGTTAATTTCAATATTACGATCGCTTTATACTAATAGCCGAAGTCGAGTCCGGGCTTACGGCACTTTGTCTCCCGAATTCACCACGGAAAGTGGTGTTCGTCAGGGTTGCTCTCTTCCTCCTTTTCTATTGAACTTTGTTATAGCTCTGATTATGGAAACAGCCCTATCCTCGTGCGAGGATAGGCATCGATTTACTTCCAGGTGGTACAGACTGTGACTTGGAGTACGCAGACGACATTGTGCTAATAAATGAAGATCCAGGTAAGTTGTAAGCATTTCTGGATAACTTGAATGCCAGTGTAGCCATATTCGGTATGCGTTTTGCACCTTTAAAGTGTAAAATGTTGCTACAAGACTGGGTTGGTCCAGCAGTCTAACTGGAGAAGTAATAGAGCAGGTGGATAAGTTTTGTTATCTGGGCAGCTACATCTCACCCGGTGGACGCATTACGGATGAAGTGTCAGCTCGCATACAGAAGGCTCGGTTGGCATTTGCTAACTTGAGATATCTGTAGTGCCGTCGCGACATCCGGCTGTCTGTGAAGGGTCGAGTTCGGGCAGTTCGGTCAGTCCTGTTATACGGTGCAGAAACTTGGCCATTAAGAAAACAAGATAAAGACGAACTGTCGGTGTTTGAACACCGGTTTCCACGCAGCATTGCACGAATCTGGTGGGGTAGCCGGGCAATGCTGGAACACCGCTGTCTACGCAGCATTGCACGAATCTGGTGGGGTAGCCGGATGAGCAATGCCGAGGTTAGACGTAGAGTTCTTGGGTAAATACGGTCGCCCACTGGAGCAAGTGGTCGACCTCCATAGATTACGTTGGCTGGGACGTGTTACGCATGTCATCACGTAGGTTACCACGGCGAGCGATGTTCGCCGAAGCAGACACCGAGTGGAGAAAAAGCCAAGGGTGGTCAAGCTAAGACCTGGCACGAGGGTATGAAAAGCCTAACCAGGAAACTGGGTCACATAGGTCCTGTTAGGCTCCCTGGCTGGGACCTCGGGATGATCCATATGGCTGGGTGTAGTAAACAGTGGCGTTCGTGCATCTCAATTTCTTTGCAACCTTAGACCGCTGAACTTCTCCATTTTCTTTTCGATTCCACTTTCAGCTTTCCTTTCTTCTCCTATTCTTCATCCAAATGAGCGGCCAAAAGACAGCAACCAAAACCGGTACATGAAAGTGCATGGTTAATGGTTGTTCAAACTGGAAAACTGAAACTGTATGCCTGTCTCAGGAACGCAACGAGTCTAAATTGAAAGTTTCAAGGATTTTAGATAAGGTAGCTTATTGGCCGGACATGAAACACGGCCAATAGTTAGAGTTAATCACTGAGTGAAATCTCGTGTGGTAGAAGCAGGATGTATCTCGCAAGATTTGGGAGGGAGAGAAAGAACTAGGTAGATGGGAAGGAGGTTTTTCCAAGTGAGTATCCAAGACTTTAGGGGCACGACACACTTCGCGGTAGTCCACACTGACGAAGGAGTTTTTCTTTGGGAACCTTGACCGGCGCCTTTGACAAATCCACAGGGCAGTGAGACGTAGATCCAACACGGGACTTCTTCCACCGTGGGGCGGAAGCCATATNAGGGGGGGGGGTCTTTGGCCGGTTAATTGCTCCACCCCTTGTTTATTTACTGAAGTGGCAATCTCCAGGTCCGGCTTTGGCAGTGCTGATCGAACTGTGCTACCTCTAGGGCAAATCGTCAATAAAATGGCACAGTTCTTGTGGTGAAACGGACACTAGCAAAGAAATTCAGGTTAGAAGCATTAGACTCAAAAGAGTACCAGGGAATCAGTCACGACGCTCCGAGATGAGCCACTTTCGACAATACAAATGCAAATGAAAATAATGCTAGGACGTGTAGCTTATCGATGAAATTATTTCAAGGACCCATATGGTGGACAAACAGATCACAAATACCCCTCCAACGAAAATCCAGTAAAAACTCGTTTGT